TAGGTCCGTGAGGGAAGCCCAGTATCACGTTTTATTTATGCAATCTAAAATTACACTAGGACAGACTCGAGCCTTAACCTCAGTTTAACCCCAAACTGATTATAGGCTTTACCGGCAAACTACTGTATGTCTTAACCAGAAAAGAGCCATTTGGACTTTTGGAGAATGAAAGAAATATCCACATCATCAAATTTATGTTGGTCGATCCGATTATAAAAGTCTTGAAAAACATGAAAAAACAGAATTACGGTTTGCATTGTTTCAGTGGTGTTCCTCATTTGCCTCCTGCATTCAGAGCATCACCTAATCACTCACCACGATGAGTTTATAAGCCTCTTTCTCAACTTTCAGAGGCCAGAGCTGACTTTTGCTATTACGGTACTGCTAACAACAACAACTAGCATGCTAATGTGCACTACCTGATCATACTAGTACATCACAAATGAAAAAGTTCAGTATTTTTTGTCACTCATTTCAGAAAGGCAAACCTATTTATTATAGACTCATGAGAGCTCAGAGCTTATTGATTTTATTTATTTATTTTTACATTTTATGATTATGGTTTAAAGATAATGAAACACAAAAATTCAGTGTCTCAGAAAATTTTAATATTGTAAAAATAAAAAAAAGATGAATATTGCAAAGTCATGGTATCACACTTTATTCAGCTAATTAACTGCACTCGGATAAAGGCCCTTTAATGGTTTAAAGATCCATTAAACATCCTCCCGAAGCTTTACTCCACCTCGAAGCAAAATCTGAAAAAATCCTCCAGAGTGGGCTCAGGAGCGATGATTGATAACCAACCAACAGTCACAACAATCCAACACGGTAACTCGCCCAGCGTTGCCTCCCTATGTTGGTGACTGTGGTGTTGGGACTGCACAATGTGGGGACGGGCGGGTGGAATGATAAACTGCATGAGTGTGAAGGAAAATAAACAAATGATTAATGTATGACTATCCTATAATTTGTGCTGGATATTTTATTTGGCATTAATAAAAACATTTTAAGTAGCGTAAACTTGCAGACATGGTCTAATCTCACGCACATTTTAGACAATTCCTTTCCGCTTCTCCATATTTGATAGAGCTTAAAAAAGCAAACATCCCCATTTTGCAGGATTTGTGGGCAGGAGCGGGAATGAAAATTACAATTCTTTGCTGGTGGAGGCGGGAGCAGGTTTGAAAATTCCGCACAGGCTGAAAACTTGGTAAAACTTTGTAGTTTACCAAAATCATACTAAAACATTTTGACAGATTGTTGAGCGCCGTGCACCACATAAAATCAGTTTGAGGTCAGTAAACACGACCAGAATGAATACATAAGGCACACCAGATTATAAGGCGTGCTGTCGATTTTTGAGACAACTGAAGGGTTTTAAGTGCGCCTTATAGTCAGGCAAATACGGTACTTGATCCACCGCCTGATTTCAAACACTTTCCAATATAAGGCCATTTTTAGTGCCCAGTGTCGCACCATAACCCCTTGTACCGCAGTCCCTCTTCTCCCCATATTGTTCACGTTTAACCTTTTCACGCCAGCTGGAGCATGACAGACCCAAGCAGCAGGTTTAGTGGGTCAAAGGCAAATCCGAAACCGCGAGAAAACCGAAAAAGGGGAGCTCCACTCGTCCACAGCTTAATCCACAGCCCAGTAAGAAAACATGAGCAGATTTCACGGAGAGGCTGCACCAGAACTCATGTGGTTTGGGAAAGGGGAAAGGGCCCGCATCACCCTGTGAGGTCGAGGAACGAGAAGTATCCAAACTACTACTACTACTGCGGCAGCTGTGGTGTACTTTTAAACACAAGTACTGCTTCTTAGGTCTGGGTTTAGGATCCCTCATGTTTTATACGATCCACAATGGTCAGCTGCGATACGATATTGTCATCATATGGTGATACATGCGATAATCGATATATTGCACGATTGCTTTGTCTGAAATGTTTCACAGTATGACATTAAACCTTTCTATCTTCATGGAGACCAAACTACAACACTTTACAAGTCAGATCTGTGGAGAGGCGACCCCGCTCACAATTGGAATGCCTGTTTTTCTTGGTATTTTTGAGCTTTGAAACCACTTGTAATTTAATAAATGTAAAGTAGAACTGTTTAATGTCACACTGTGGAACATTCCAGGCAAACAAGCAGGTGATGGAATCTCAACCAAAAAGTTACACAGTGCACCTTTAAGAACCAAATACATTTTAGCAACAATATTTCTTTGTTAAACCATTTGAAATACATTTTTAAATAATCAAAACAGTTCATATGTCACTTGTATTGCTTAAATGAGTTTCCTTCCATTAAATAAGCAACACAATTATAATGCAGTCACAAAAAAAGCTAAAATATACCAAAAAATACTCTTGGCGATACAGCAGCCCATGATATTGATACTGTATCACCAAATTTAGTATCACGATATATTGATATTGAATGCAAACACGGGGTCGTTTTGTCTAGCCAGGCTAGTGCCACCTAGTGCTTCCGCTCAATTTCATTTCTCTCCAGCAACTAGGTCAGGAATCAAAATACAATAGACGTTTCGCAAAAACCCCGAAAGTGCAAGTTTGGGCACCAGCCAATCAGCGAAGAGTCATATATTCTGTGTTGTCAACGATTCCCGAGATTGAGGATTTAAAACTGGAACAAAGAGAATGTTTAGTGAATTTTATCAAGGGGAAAGACGTTATTGTCCTTCTTCCTACGGGATCCTACTTGGCCAATTTACATTATTAGTGTTCAGATAGTTTTTACACTCAGGTCGGTGTAAAAGAGTTTATGACCTGGGAGCTAAACATGTTCAAATCAAATATTGCTTTTACCGTATTTTCCGGGCTATTAAACACATTCTTAAGCGTCTAACCCCATCAAAAAACGACGCACAATCGAGAGCGCCCTATACACGAATCCACTCGGGTGTCCCAGCACGACTTCAGTAAACTACAAACGCACGCAGACACACACGGAGCAGACAGCGACCGCACAGCGAAACACACCCGCAGCCACACTCGCCACTCCACGCCGACGAGGAACGGAACGAAGGAAAGAACCAAAAAAAGCGAGTGCAATGTGCCGCTTCTAGACACGACTGAACAACTGAGTCACTGCGAACACGCCGACAATCCAGCGGTCCCAGACGGCACCCTCCCTACACGCCACAACTGAACAAAGCCCAGAGTCACCGTGAACGCGCCAAACAAAGTCCCACTGTCCCATCCAACTGTTGTGTTTCCTTTAAAGTCCGGTGCAGTTTATTTGTGAAAAAAGATTGAAAATAGACCATTCATGCGCCTTATAATCCAGAGCGCCTAATAGCCCAGAAAATACGGTACTAATAACAATTGTAATGCTTATTTATTATTGCTAAACATTGGGTATGGTGGCCAAGCTGTAATTTGGTGTTTTGGTTCTCAACATAATTATCCAATTATCAGAAAGGAAATGAGCCTCACACGCATCACTGATTTAGGTTGTCACGTTCAGTGCCTTCATCCAGTTGGTTTGCATTAGTAGAACGTTGTGCACTTTTACTTTGATATGGTTTAATGATTTATTTTGAACAATTGCATCAGTTCAATTGCAGTAAAATGTAACATTAGTCATAGTTTGAATGGGGGCAATTAGCAAATCGCATAGGATTTGGGTGCAACTTTTGAAGGACCTTGTATTTCTTTACACACAAAATCTCCTGTCTTATTCTAGATCAATTCTGTGATTCTTGTATTCGTCAGTTCAAATGTCAGTCTTTTTGTCAGTTCTTTTGGATGTGTTTAAAATGTGAACTTTGAACTCAATCCTGTTATTAAAGTGTGAATCACAAATCTCAATACCTTTTACCTCTTACAGTAGTATCAAGTTGTTTTTTTTTTACTGTATTTTTCCACATACACAGTGCAGCAGCGTTCACAGTAGCTCTTCCTTCTTCTCAGAATGTTCCATTGTCGTGCGGTTGACATCAGTGTAACTTTCGTAATGTTTGTTGTGCGTCTTAGTGTTGACGCTGGCGTATGTTGGATCAGGTTTCCCCAGTGAAAGTTTCCTGTAACTTTGCCAAACAAACCTCCTAGCAAAACAACTGACACAACAATGTTGTATGGCGGCAGAGTGGTTAGCTTTTACTGCCACACAGTGAGGAGGTCTTGGGTTTGGTCCCATGTGAAGCTCTTTCACTGCCTTGATGGGCAATAGGCTAATGGTCAAACAAGGAACTAAGGACTAAGGGCTTAAACTCAAGGTCTGGGGTCACAGTTGTATTTATTTATTTATTTATTGAAACTTTGTTAAAAACTGTAGCTTTTACAGTAAACTTTGAACCAGATCATTGTGATTGGTGAGGGTTGGAGGGGCTGATGATGGTCGGCTGCCTCGCTCCAGTCTGTGTGCGCAGGGCAGCTGTGGCTACAACAGTAGTGTACCAGTACTGTGGAGTGATTGATTTTTTATTACACAGCAGTACCTTAGTATTTTAAGATTCAAGGGTTTATTATCACTGTCACAAGCATCAATGAAATAGAATTTAGAGCTTTAGAAACAGTAGCACAGTTGCACTCTTAATCTTAAAGCTCTCCAGACCAGAAGTCTGAAGTTGGCTCTTCGCACAACCCCCAAGGATCTGATCTTCATCTGCCTTTTCCTCCTTAACCTGTTTGGCAGGGTTGAACCTGCTAGGGGTATAAACCCCCGCCGGCTGAGCTTTTGGAATCATTGAAAGATGCAAGCCCATCCACCATGACAAGAGTGTAAGAGTGCAAGACCGCATGAATGCAGTTCATAAAGGGCTAATACAATGCATAGAAGATAAACACATACGCTATTGTGAGGTGCTTTTAGCAGCAACACAACAACATAAAGACAGTGGTACACACAGCAGTATGTGGTGTAGATGAGTTGGATCAGTGCAGAGACTTCTTCAGGTATGGTGAAGTGGGAAGTGGAGTTTTGTATTATATTATTTTATATTTAATGTTGTGTTTTCTTGTCTTTGGCAGCATCCATTTGTGAACTCGGTGACTTCAAACCGTCCTCTGCGGGAGCTGGTGGCCGAGGCTAAAGCTGAAGTGATGGAGGAGATTGAACACAACAGCGAAGAAGGAGAGGAGGACGAGGCCATGGACCTGACTGTGGTATGGACACGGATTCACTTCACTGCAGTGTGTTAACAGAAAATACAAATAGGCCAGGTTGATACCAGTTTGCAATAGTATTCATTTATCTGTTCAAAAACACTCAGAGAATGGGCAGAGCAAGAAAAATAAATAAAATAAATTTAAAAAATCAGCATTCAATATTGGCATCTAATGGCAATATAGACGGACACTGATTAATCTGTATCCATATTGGCCAATACCGATACTGGAAGCGATACATCACCCTTCCCTATTTTTCAGAATGTTTGTTATAAATTATTTGGGGAAAAAAAAGACAACTGTCAAAAAACATTATAGTAAAATTATAATTAGAAAATGTAAACGAATGGGATTCTGTATACCAGCATGATGCATACATACAAGCTTTCATTGTTTCATTGCAGTTCAGAAATCCCCCTCAAACTTCCTATTCTTTTCATCACTCACTTTTTGACCCTTTGAACATATTTTTTGCTAAACAACTCCTTCCTGCCTGAGTGTGTGTACAGTCGCCATTCAAAAGTCCACTGAGGCTTTAATATTAGAAAGTGACACAGGTCTTAAACAGCCCTGAGCAAAAACAAAGGAGCCGGAATCCGAGCGTTCACCCCACCCACCTGCTGTTAAATATAGTGCCTGTTCCACAGCCGTGTGACTGGGCTCAGCTCTGCCTCCATACATCTGTATAGGGGATAATGGAGGGTTGTTTATGCCCGAGTCACGCCTTTGAACTTTGTGCTTCATGACATAACTCCTCTGATCATCCCCAGGGTTAGAAGGAAATTGAAATGAACCAAACTGTAAATATATGTTTACAAAATAATACAAATCGATATATATAGTTTAAAATCCTATCTATTCAATGTTAAAATAGACAAAATGTGAAGCAGTATTTATGTGCATTATCTCAACATGTAGGATACTATATTCATATCATTTTACAGTGTAGAAAGTGTCTATACACGATGGTAATGATGCACCCATCCAGACTTTTCTGTTCTTATCGATGTTAATACTTCTGCCGATATCAACCGATACCAGTGCAGAGACTGAAAATATAATTTATTTACTTTTACGATATCTTGGATCCATGAAAATGTACAATATCTGCACCAATATCTGATACCAGTATTGTATTGGTGCATCCCTACACAATAGGTTTTTAATTTTTACTTCTAAGTATTAATACAAACACGATGTAAGACGGTATTTGGTGTAATTCAGTTAAAAAATAAGGTGGAATTTGGTGAATTTGGGTCGTCATCATTATATCCCAAAGCCATAACACATTATACAAACATTTACCACACTTTCCATACTTTCCAAAATGTTTAAAATTTTGTAATAAACCTACTCTTGTCTTTATTTATTTAAAAGTTTCTCAGTTTTTTTACCTTTTTAAACAAGGAAAAACAAACTTGCATTTTCATACTCAAATTTTACCACTATAATCAAATCAGACACATTAAAAACTAGTGAATATACCATTACATAATCGCTCTTATTTCTTTTTATTTCTTATTTATTTATTTGTAAAGGGACAATTTGGTTAAACATTTGACATATTTGACCGCTGTTTTAAAGCTTTAGAAAATGCTGCCGGTGTTGAAAGTTCTCGTATATGAGCTGCACTGTATTCCATGTTTGAGCTGCTTGATAAGCAAAAGAGAGGTGTCCAAAAGCACTTTACCTAAACGGCACATGGCGATCACCTCTGGACCTGCTCTTGTTGTGTGATTTGAGTTTCAATTCCCAAACTCCTTTTCCAAAACACTCGAAGCAAATCTATTATTACACCAGACTGTCGATGTGAATGTCTGTGTCGATAGAATAATTTTAGAAGTAAAAACAACCTTGTATTTGAAGGATTTATGTCTCAGCAGCAGCAGTGAGTTGTATTTCCTGATAGAAAGCTCGGCAGCGGCGGACTGATATCACCTGGCACCTATCTTACCGGCAAAGTAAAAGTCCGCTGCTGCTGCTGAGAAAATAGTCCCTCAACATGCAATGATTCATGCGATGCAAGGTTAGTTTTATTTCAAACATTATTCTATCAACACAGACATTCACATGGACAGTCTGGTGTAATAATAGATTTGTTTCGGGTGTTTTGTGGAGTGGGTAAGACTGTTTTTAGTGACAGGCTAACTATGGCCATTGACATGCACTAGCCTAGCACCAGCGACCTCTGCAAATACAAGGACTGGATGGAATATTTTAAAAAGTGTCTCCACACGTCTCCAACACTCTGGCTCACTAGGAAAGAGAAAAAAAAAATTCCAGACTGTCCCTTTAAAAAGTTTATATACCAAAATCAAATCTGCGTATTTGTGTATATTTGTGTTGTCCCAATTTAGAAATGTGTATTTTTCAAGTATTCTACAATAATGATAATTTGTGGGCTTTTTGTCTAATACCTTAAGACAAACATGTCCAAAGTATGGCCTGGGGGCCAAATGCGGCCCTCAGACAAATTTTTCTTGGCCCTCAGGCTTCCAGGTGAATTGGCCCAAATTACCTTGCATCATTTAAAAAAAAAATTTTGCTGCAAGTTTTTTGAAAGTCTACCTTGATAAAGCCAATATTTAATATATCATCTGTGATTTTAAGGATCTTAGCATGAATAAAAACTGATGGCTCATTCTAACACATTCTAAACATGCACATATTTCAGTTATTCACTGTCCTGAGCACCAGTCTACGGCCCTCGATCGGCCCTCTGCTTCGTCTGTGTTCAGATATATGGCCCTTGATGAAAAAAGTTTGGACACCCCTGCCTTAAGAGCTTTTTTATCGATAGTTTCAGCTCATTTAAGAGTTTCGCTTGTCAGAGTCCAACTAGTAATGCAATAATTTAGGTCTGGCAAAATCATTCAAATTAAATACATAATTGCTTGCACATTTGTTGTTAGATTATTTCTGATACGATGAAAATTTGATTGGAAATTTGACTTTTCTTTTGACATGTGTTGTCTGAACGATAGTTGTGGGTCCCAGATACTTCACCTCATGGACCAGTTTCAGTTTTGTTCCAAGCACAAATACATCTCCGTCTGTATCCATGCCAGGTTTTTTTGAGACAAACATACCAACTGACTTAGAGATATTAAGATGTAACTGTGCATTTTGTAGCCAGTTTGCGACCTCTGACATAATGGCCCCTGCGCTTAAAAATGCAGCTCCAATTTCCTGTTGACTGAGAATAGCCGTAAATCTTCAGCGCAGACGGAGAAGTGCCTCTAAACCGTTAAGAAAGGAGCACCTGATCGTAAAATTGTCTGATGACTTAACTCAGCTGGAGCAAGTGAAGACATATTTGACACAGAAAACAGCCCGGCTCTTCTTCTGCTGTTTTGTGTCATATACGGTTCTCTGTGTGGAGGTTGTAATTACAGATCAAGGAGGAGACATCTTGGGAACTTTCTAGGCAAGATTTAGAACAACGTGTTTTTTTTTTTTTGTGTGTGTTTTGCCCTGAAGCACGCGAAGTAGAGCAGGCTGTAAAAGTAATGAATCATATTGTTTTGACTGAGGGATTTTTGAAAGGGAGTTTTAAGTTGTTTGTAATGATACGATGGGTTGATTTATGAACGGGATGAACCCTTAATTAAGAACCACAGCCCTGAGAAAAAGACGGTGATTTCGGTCGTCTAGAATCAAATTTCCAGCTTGTAGCGTAATTTATATATTTGAGGCTCAAATTGAAACTTTGAATGATAGTTTGACCTGACTGAAGAGTGGGAGTAAAGAGAGGCTTCTTTGTGTTTTTGATTTTTAGATTGTGATGCCAGACGGACAAGAGGGGGCAAGTTTTTTCTGTTGATTACGTTGTATTTTGCCATGAAATATCCAAATGAAAAATGCAAATATGTTTACCCTGATAATCAGCGGAGTAGTGGGGATTTTTTAAGTGGACTAAACCAGGAAGGAACCAGGACTGAACCGGGACTAAACCAGGACTAAACCAGGACTAAACCAGGACTAAATCAGGTCTAAATCAGATCTAAATCAGGTCTAAACCAGGTCTAAACCAGGACTCTCTAAACCAGGAAGGAACCAGGTCTACACCAGGACTAAACCAGGTCTACACCAGGACTAAACCAGGTCTACACCAGGACTAAACCAGGTCTACACCAGGACTAAACCAGGTCTACACCAGGACTGCGCTTAGCTCCATGGGGCACGGAACTCTGCGCCGGTCTACGCAGCACCTCCGGGCCCGTCCCAACACTCAGTCCTGGTTTAGTTCTGGTTTAAACCTGTTTTAGACCTGTTTTAGACGTGCTTTAGATGTGTTTTAGTCCTGGTTCGGTCCTGGTTCTGGTCTGGTTCTGCAGATATCATGAGCCAATGCAGGTTGTTTTCACCACTGATAATAGCTCCGGTTTGACATTTAAGTTGTAGCTGTTTTATATATATAAGGTAAAAGGTAGCTGTAAACTACATGACACTACATGACATCACAAGGTTGAACAGAGCATTTTGAGCTTTGGAGATGTAAACAGACTAATAATAAAGTGTTACTCAAACATGTAAATGAAACAAAACACAACCCCAGGTCTGTTTTTGATGAGGTAACAACATTATAACATTGCCTAACACTCACAAGAGTCAATTTTGCATAATATACAACCTTTAATTAATGAAATATTTGTAGAATGTTACGATGCCACCTTAAAGCAGTTGTATTAATGGATGTTACACAATTGAATTATGTTCTAAAATGTTTTTAAAAAGTTTTATGTGACCACATTATTGAATCAAATGTTATATGGGAAGCTTGGGTTAACCACAAAGCTGTTCCTGCCCTATAAGCATATTTTTACACATATTTACAGCACAGTACAGTAATATAGTGTTGTAGTACTCGAGACCGGCCTCGAGACTTTTTTTTGCGGTCTTGGTCTCGTCTTGGACTCAACCGAGCTTGGACTGTCTTTGTCTTTAAGGCACTTGGACTCAGTCTTGTCTTGGTCTTGAAGTCTGACACTCGACGAGTGAAAATAGATTTATAAAAACATTGATATATGTACCAAAATAACTGTAAAATACAAATAAATGTAGAAAAATTACAAAGATGGCCTCGATTTGGTCTCGCTGGACCGTGGTCTCAGTCTTGTCTCAGTCTCGGCCTTTAAAAGTCTTGGTCTTGTTTTGTCTCGGTCTTGACTACAACACTACAGTATTACATTACAGTATTTATTTATATATATATTATCTGTTTTTATTACCATAAATATTTGATATATATTTGTGAATCTGACCTGACTTTATGAACACCAGCAAGAAGAAGAAAGCGCTCTTTGTAAAATGGAGCATGTCCCAGTTTGTCAGGCCTGTTTCACACATGCACTGTCAGCTCTGTAATTATAATGTGTGTGATCAGATCTTCAAGCAGGAATCTGCACAGGCTGCATTCCTCTATCTTCTCTTATTATTTGTATTCTCATGTTTATCTAAGCAGGTCGGATGTTGGGAGATATTGTAAAACCACTTTTAGAAACATTCATATCAGAATGTTCTGCCAGAAGCTTTGACCTGGTCTTTGTTAGTTAAAAACTGAATGCAACTGTTTCTGTCCTGAACCGAAACTGCAATGTCAATGAAAAATACACTAGTATAATTTTTAAAACCACTTCTCTTTGTATAGTAATATTTTCTGCAGTCAAAATATTTGATCCCTCCTTTATAAAATCTACTATATATTTAAAAATACATATTTTGACTATATCTGTAGAAGAGGGTAACAAAAAACATATAGGTTTGTATTGTTTTCTTCTTTTAAACATTGTTTTTGCAACTCTTTAATGGTATGATCACAAAAAAGACAAAACAATGAATTACAATTTTTCTAACAAGTATTGTGATGATTAAAATGTAGGTTTCTGTTCAGATTGCACATTGAAAACCACTCGAGGAGCATCAACATTTGAGAGACTGAGATATGAAATGATAAAGTAATACAAGACTCACATCCGTTTGCAGAGATCTAAACTACAGATACAACAGTTTATGTCCATGAAAAGACTAGACATTATGCTATATGTGATCTATGCATCTAAAGAACTGCAGCCTTTGATTATTCTTTTATTATTTTCAGTTCATATTCAGTCTTCTCTCAAATATTGATGCTCCTGGAGTGGTTTAAAATGTGCTATCTGAACAGAATCTGAACAGAAATCTGCAAATCATCGCAATACTGTAATTGTAAATGTAATTGTAATTCATTTTTTTGTCTTTTTTTCATGATGATATTCATTAAAAAGAGTTGCAAAAACAGCGTATATCAGGACAGGACATTAAGCTAGATGCCTATACAACTAAATAATGCAGCTTTTGATGATTGCATCTACTCAGGTAGCAACTTTGATTAGATGAGAAGACAAAACGGTGGTACTTACTCCTCATTGTGTTTCTGTTTCCCGCCCACAGTCTCCAGGGAAAGAGCCGTGCCAGACCAGTCAGACGAGCCTGGAGGGGGAGCACTCCACAGCCTCCGCCAGTCCCACCACGCCCTCCCCCACCACGCCCCTCCCCACCCCCGCGCCCACCCCGGCCCCAAGGAAGGGCACGGGCGAGTCCGGCGCCCCGTCAGAGGATGGGGTCCCGGTCCCCATGCCGCGGATCAACGCACCCCACAAAGAGCCGGCGGAGGAGAGGGGCGGGGCTGAGGTTCTGTCCAACGGGGGTCTGCCTGGAGATGTTCTAATGGAGTCTGAGAAGTGTGAAAGCGAAGGGTCCACGAAAACGTCAAATTCAGATTCAGGGATTGAGGATGGGAAGAGCACGCCCACGTCTGAAGATAAGGTGAGAGAGATGATTTTAGGGTTTGTATCTATGACTTTCAGCTTTATAGAATATTTTGTATAAGATTGCTTTTTTCGTTTTGTTTTGTTTTGTTTTTTCACAATGTTTTTTATTCATTTTCAATGAAGAGATTTATAATTATACAGTAAATAGTGCAGCATATATGCAACAAATATACACATACATAGAAAATATGTAACATTTTAAGAAATCATAATAAAAATGTAAAAATACAAAATCAAAACATGTAAAAGAAATAAGCAAATTGTTGCACTTTAATTACACAATTATTGTTGCCTGAGAAAGTTAATTTGGGGTGTCAATATCTCTTCAAATTCTTGTCCTTTTCTTCTAATGTAGTACGGTATTGTTAATTGCTCTGGCAACTATACAAATACTTTGATCACTCAAAGTATGGATATTTTCTAAATCAGGGGTTCCCAAACTTTTTGATTCATACATTTATTAGCTTTATTTGGTTAAAAAAAAAAAAAAAAAAAGAATCAAAGAAAATCATGTGTACACACATTAGCTACTGGATTTACAGTGTTAAACCAAGGATTAAGACAAGGATTAAACCATGGATTAAACCAAGAATACGCTGCTCAAAGCTAACACATGTGTGAACTCACCCTTATGTACCAATTAGTTCTGTTTTTGGGGGACAGGCAGGGGTCAGCAGATACTTTATGAATGGAGCTTGTAAAATATGTTGGTAAATTAATAATTTAGTACTGAACAATAACAGTTAGTAGATCAGGACAAAAGTTTCTGTTCAAAACCACCATAGCAAGCATGAATTTGAATTTACATGTTTGTATTGTTGAAAAATCACATTTTGAACCCTACGTTATAACCTGGAGCAGTGGGAGGAGATAGGGGGTGGGTGAAAACGCTTGTGTCTTGAATGCAGGATTATACAGAGGCGGCAGTACCGTATTTTTTGGACTATAAGGTACACTTAAAATCCTTCATTTTTTTCAAAAATCAGTGTGCGCCTTTTAATCCAGTGCACCTTATGTATTAACTCTGGTTCTGTTTACTGACCTTGAACTGATTTTATGTGGTACATGGGGCTCAAAAATCTGTCATGGTTGTGTTTTAGTTTGATTTTTGGTAAACTAAGAAGCCGCAACGCTTGATGGATTGTTGGAGCATTACGGCTACTGTAGTCAGAAGCCTTGTGGAGTAAAGGGTGAAATATAGCTCTTTGTCAGCATTTATAACATCAAGGAAATTCTACAGAGAATATATGTCCATTCATTCAGATCTGCAAACTTATAATCTCTGAAAAGTTTCACATGAACCATCTCCAACGCAATAGAAGCACAGAACAGACTCAGCATCAGCAGAACATCCTCTGTCACAGAAAGAACACTCATATTCCACTGAGTCGTGTCCTTTAGTCCGACAGAAGCTGAACTGCATCAGCGGACAAGAAGCGAGCTGTTTTTTCAGCACTTATAGTTTATGCAGATTATGTGGTTTTAAATTTAATTTCTGTAAAATGTAAACAAATGTGCGCAAAGCTGCATTAAACACATTATTACTCAGTGTATATTTGAGTCCTCCTTGTAGGAAATAAAAAAAACTAACTTGAATTATCCACCCACATTCACATTCATAACACACATTCACCAAGACAGGGAGGCAACGGCGGAGAATTACGACATGATCTGCCAATGGATCGTGGACGCCTGGACTAAGGGATCAGTCCAGGTGTCCGTTTGTTTCACTTAATGCTCCTTACAATCCGGTGCACCTTATAGTTTGAAAAATAAGGGAGGTCAGTTGGTAGTGCGTAAATGTCAGTAATTGAGCGGTCAGATCAGATAGCGGTGCGACTCCAATGATTCCAGCTCCCACAGATGAATGCTGTTGTTGTGTCTTTGGGCAAGACACTTAACCCACCTTGCCCCCAGTGTCTGTATGTTTGTGTGAATGGGTGAGTGCTTCCTTGATGTCCTTTGAGCGCCTTGAAAGTGAAAAAGCGCTGTATAAAAATGTGACCACTTGCCATTTACCATCGATTAAACCTGAATCAATTGAAATAAAACTGAGAAGGTTTATGATGATGGAGCACCCAGTAAAATATATGATTTTACAGCTATATATGTCCTCTAAAAAGATAAATTCCCTTTACTGATCTGTTTTGGTTTGAAGGTTGTCGTGGAGACGCCAGAGAGCGAGCAGCCCCCCTCTCTACCCCAGGGCGAAGTGTCCGAGGAGCAGGTCAACCTCATCATCGACTCCCCCGGACCGGGCCGGACCAAGACCCAGGAGAAGAGGGACCCCCCGGTGTCCAACGGTTCTCTCCCGTCTGCCACCCCTCCCCCCTCCCCGGCTCAGGCCTCCATCCCCAGGACCAGCTCCACAAAATCCACCCCGGAGAGGAGGTCTGTCCGGAGTACTTCAGAGCCGGCGTCCCCTTACATCAACGGGGGCTTCAACAACTCCAGGGTCTCGTATCCTGGGAGTATAGTGTCCGAAAGCATGGACATGTCGATCAACAACAACATGATCATATCCAGGGTGAGTCCAAGTTATACTTAAAAACGTGAAAACCATAATTACTTTATTTAAATTTTAAGCTGTTATTTCTCACTTTTTAAAAACATATTCTGAGTGTTTTTTATTCACCACAAAGAGTTTATGAGCACTTTTCACATTTTGTTGTTGTTTTATCATGGACTGTATAAAGAAATGGAATAAGGGAATGCGACATCTCCCATAGCGTTTGTCCAGTCAAATGAAGCTCATCGAGGCTCGCAGTTATGGTGTTACAAAATAGCAAAATAAAAAACCTCAGGATCATGTAGAGAAGGTTAATATGAACATTTTAAGACCAGAAATAAGGACTCTGACAGCAGTAGTTACAGTACAAAGTGAATTGGAGCCAGAGTCGATTGAGTATTTGGAACACAGTGACTAGCAGGTTAGCTATGTCCACTGATACATACTGTACAGTCTATGTGTTTTATTACGGAACAGACAAATAAAGTTCCATTCTATTCTTTCAGAGGTCACAACATTAGCATGCTAAAAATGTACCCAGACTACTTCCTGGTTTGTGGACCTGGCTGTCTCATTTTGACCCCAACCTGTTTTGACCATACACCTGTACTGGCGCAGAACACATTTTACTTTTATTACATGAACACATACAGCTGCTTTAAAGGTTGTATAGAGGATTTTTTTAAGGAAAGAGAAATCCAGCGTGACACCACCTTCCTCCTCCACAGGTCCCTCTAGAAATAATTTAGAGACCGACACCTCAGTTTTTAGAGCCTTCGTCTGCTTCAGTCGCGCAGTCACTGAAAGGAATCTCCAAGAATCACCTCAGTTTGTCTTAGCTCCTTTTCCCCTTCTCTTCTTCTTTCAGCGACCTCAAAAACGGACTTTCTTTTGCGGCGAACCGGTCGTGGATTCTCGTCCGACATTGCAACAAACTTTATGCGAACTGCGAGAGAGCCACAATTAGAAAAAGCCTCTAAGAACTGCTGCATAGTTACCTTAGAAACGTAGGGAGTTTGATTGACAACCTAACAGCCAATAGAAAATGAGGCAGCCTCGTTTTCTATTGGCTGATGTTTATCTGGCCTCAACACGTCCACAGTTGATAGATTTTCTTTCTTTCTTTTTTTTGGTCATCATAATTACAAAGCTGCTGCGTCTCTGTAATGGTATTTTAAACTTTCATTGACAATTTGAAACAAACAAAAAAATCCTCCATACAACCTTTAAGTATTTAAATAGTTCTTGTGTTGTGTTTGATCATAGCCCTGATAACGATTATTCAAATTTCAAATAATCGAACCTGTTCCTGCTTGTTTCCAGAGAAATGTTGTTCCTTTGACTATAATCATAGCCTGGATATATAAATGGATATAGTTAACCTTCTAGCTGCCATGTTCCAAATAGGAAATGAGCTGGGGTAATTCTCTTTTGAATTTAAAAAAAATTAAATAAAAGAAAAAACGCACAGTTCTGACCAATCAGAGCTCAGAGCGGGCCTACGCTAACTCTTACAAAGCTGACTTTTAGGCACTTTGACGATTTAAAAAATGTTAAAGTTCATATTGTAAAAATACAGAAGAATCCCAAAATCTAACCTTTATGGAAGCTGTCGAGGCCCTGTCAGCCAAACATGGGCCGTTTGATTTCACAAAAAGGGCAGTACCTGGAGCTTCTTATCCAGTTCTTATAATAGATCCATGCACAAAACACATCTATCTCCATGGACATTGGGTGGATGTTCTTAAGTATGGTTTTAAATGTCTTTTTCCGAAATTATACAGCTGACTTTCCACCTCCAGAAAGTTACATAATCGCACTTTTTTGATGCCAGTAAACATTTCTATAAATTCTTGACCTCTTTGTTGACCTCACACTTCCCTTTTTGCGTGTCCTACAGTTTGATATTTTTGTTGTGTGGAGACGCCTGGGCAGTTTGTCATGGCACTTCCCCTTCTCTGGACCCCTCCTCGGAAAAAAACACTCTTAATTCCTGGGCAGCGTAGGAACTGAAAGTGCATTGTGTTGTGTTTGGAGCGTGTGGGAGTGGACCGTCCAAAACAGAGCTGTGACTGTGTCCCATTAGAAGAGTCTATTCACTTTGGGTGGATCCACACAAGAGATACTGACTGCTTATTGATTTCAGGCTGCCAATTTCACGGTCATAAAAAGGCCATTTCATATTTATTATTTAGTGCCTGAGGACACGGTAGCTTTATGAGAGACGATATCGAATTTCCAACATAACAAGTCCTATTTCTTTTAACAATATTTCCTCGGCAAAAAGTCCATACACTCAATAGATTTGTTGACATGATACTGGAATTAAGTAATCCCACTCCCAGGAAAGGAATGAGAGCAGTACTAGTTGATGTCGTTGCAGGAGCAGTAGTAGTAGTAGCACTAGCAGTAGGTTTTTGTAGTAATATTAGTAGCAGTAATAGTAGTGTAGAAGGGTTTTGCAGTATTAGTAGTATAAGTATCTGTAATAGTAGTAGTAGTAGTTGTAGTAGTTGTTGTAGTAGTAGTAGTTGCAGTTTTAGTTGTAGTAGTTGTTGTAGTAGTAGTTGTAGTAGTAGTGGTTGTGGTTGTTGCAGTTGTAGTTGATGCAGTAGCAGTAATAGTAGTTGTAGTAATAGTAGTTATAGTAGTAGTTGATGCAGTAGTATTAGTAATACTAGTTGTAGTTGTAGTTGTAGTTGATGCAGTAGTAGTTGATGCAGTAGTATTAGTAATACTAGTTGTAGTTGTTGTAGTTGATGCAGTAGTAGTAGTAATAGTAGTTGTAGTTCTTGTAGTTGTAGTTGATGTAGTAGTTGATGCAGTAGTAGTAGTACTAGTAGTTGTAGTAGTTGTAGTTGATGCAGTAGTAGTAGTAGTTGTAGTTGTTGGAGTTGTAGTTGATGCTCTAGTAGTAATATTAGTTGTAGTAATAGTAGTCATAGTAGCTGTAGTTGGTGCAGTAGTAGTATTGGTAGTTGTAGTAGTTGTAGTAGTTGTAGTAGTTGTAGTATTAATTGTAGTTGTAGTAGTAGTAATAGTAGTTGTAGTAGTAGTAATAGTAGTTGTAGTTGTTGCAGTTGTAGTTGATGCTGTAGTAGTAATATTAGTTGTAGTAATAGTAGTTATAGTAGCTGTAGCTGATGCAGTAGTAGTTGTAGTATTAGTAGTAATAGTAGTTGTAGTAGTAATAGTAATACGAGTTGTAGTTATAGCAGTTCTAGTTGATGCAGTAGTCGTAGTCTTAATAGCAATAATAGTTTTAGTAGTAATAGTAGTTGTAGCAGTTGCAGTTGTAGCTGTAGTTGATGCAGTAGTAGCAGTAGTAGTAGTAGCAGTTATTGTCATCACAGTAGTTAAAGTACCAATAGTCGTACATTTCAGTGTCTCCTTTCCTTGTCCCGAGTGAAAAACAGTGTTCTGGTGGTGGTGGTTCATGTTTGGAAGGACAGAGTGAGGTCACAAGGGCAAATATGCAGCAAATATGCAGCAGCAGCAGCAGCAGCAGCAGCGTCTCGAGCCTGTGTCCCTGTGTGTGGGCACCGGCAGCTCTGTGTCCATCATGCTGTTGTGTGCCTCTATTGTCTTGTGTTGACCTGCGGAGGTTTATGGAGACAGTGTCATGGAAATGCTGTTATTATGAAGGGAGAGAATTTTCCAGAACACTTTCTTCTACAGGAAACTCACCTAGAACAATGCACTGGTCTTATTGACAATGTACTTTTACCATGGGTTTATATACAGCTATTCAGTGTAAAGGAAGTAGACATGATGAATGAATCTGAATGAAGAGTGTCCACATACTGTATATACCACACCAGAAGGGGCTACTACTGCTACTACTACTGCTACTCATACTGCGACTGATACTCCGGATATTACTGATATTACTGATATTGATGTTAGTGATCTTCTACTGCTACTACTGCTACGACCTACTATTACTACTTCTACTACTATATCTGCTACTGCTGCTGCTACTACTGCTTTTAGTACTACTGCTACTACTACTGCGACTACTACTGCGACTGATACTACGGATATTACTGATATTAGTGATCTTCTACTGCTACTACTGCTGGTATGTCTACTACTGATGCTATTACTACTACTGCTGCTACCTACTATTACTGCTTCTACTACTATATCTGCTACTGCTGCTGCTACTACTGATATTACTGCTACTGCTACTGCTTTTACTACTACTGCTACTACTACTGCGACTACTACTGCGACTGATACTACGGATATTACTGATATTAGTGATCTTCTACTGCTACTACTGCTGGTATGTCTACTACTGATGCTATTACTACTACTGCTGCTACCTACTATTACTGCTTCTACTACTATATCTGCTACTGCTGCTGCTACTACTGATATTACTGCTACTGCTACTGCTTTTACTACTACTACTACTACTACTACTGCTACTACTACTGCTACTGCTATAACTGCTACTAGTACCAGTACTACTACTACTGCTGCTACTGCTACTACTACTACTGCTATTAGTACGACTACTACTGTCTGTTACTGCTGCTGCTGATATTGCTGATACTACTACTACTGCTGCTGCTGCTGCTGCTACTCCTGCTACTACTGATATTACTTAAACTACTACTCCTATTACTACTGCTGCTATGTCTGGTACTGCTTTTGCTTCTACTGCTACTACTGCTACTACTGCTACTACTGCTACTACTGCTACTACTGCTACTACTGATACTACTGATACTACTGATACTACTGATACTACTACATTCATGCATACATACACACACACACTAATGGGGACAGCAGTGTAAAAGTGGGATTAAAGGCCAGTTTAAACAGACCGGGACTAGAACAGGAACAGGATCAAACAAGTGCACATCAGGACTATACTAGGCTCACCAGTTGTAAACACATAATTAATATACCAGAACAGAATTTGGCTAAAACTATATTTCTGCCGTACACCTTAATGATGCTGAATTTTTATACAGGAAAATATTTTTACAGATGAATCAGGCCTG